GGATTGAAGTAATCTACAGCTTGTATACTGTATCTTGATCTCACGAAAATAGCAAATGTTCTTCACAATTCAAAACTAAATGTCCTTGGATGCATATCAGAGTATAAGGCAAGCTTGCCTCTGACATATCTTTCCTTCCCTTTAATATGCCAAACTTTGTAAGACATTTTAAAATGTTAAAGCTTAGCAATTTTATACAACAACACATGTATTTTTATCAAATTTAATATGATGAATTTTGGGGTTCAAGTTCATCTAACAAATGCCCCCCACCCCATTTAAATCTCTGTTCAGCTAGGAAGAATCAGGCCTTCTGGGCAACCTACCGCCTCATAATTGCAACAGACGATATTTTACAGACACAGTGCATATTAAGGATGATGAATAATATACTAATTATGCTATATTAATTCTATCCCAATCTCTATGAGACTAAGATAGAATGTTACTAACATTTCTTCTACTAGATGCAGGAAATGACCTTCCTTTGTTAACTATTTATACTGAACCTGTTAGTGAATGAGATAATAGCTGGTTCTGCTTGATCAGCATTACGATAGCAAATATTTGCACTGAAGATTAGACAGTAGGAAGATCAACATGCTGGATGGCAGGGAAGACACAGATGTATAGTTACTCATAACCACAGTCCATAAGGAAAAGTACTACAAGCACGTTGTATTTTATCCCTGCATCAAGGTTTGCTTTGAAAATATCCTCTAGAGCAGGAATAGACAAGTTACAACCATGTTCAGCATATTTTTCTTCCACGGGAATTAGTAAAGTTGCAGTGATTGTACTTAACACTTAATTTCCATCTTTTTTATTTTGCCCTCACTTGTTTTTTGCAAATGCCAGTTTGTAAAGATCACCTTGTGAGGAGGTATGTTCTGCAGACAGGGAGGGGAAAAACCCTAGAAATAATCTCACTTTAACTCTGAAATCACACCACTTCATGTCTTTAACAATATCACCTACCGGTACTTTTTTTTTTTAACACTGAGAACATATGTATCAAAATGGAAATCAAAATTTCCCCCCAAATAACCCCTTCCCCAGTCTTGGCAATAAGTTATCTTATGAATGACAGATGCACATTAATAAAGGGAAAATATTTTTCCCTATCCAATCTGCCTTTCAGCTAAATACAGTAATCATTTTCCTCAAAGACTCAAAATCAAATTCTCCATACAAAATAGCCCAGGTTGGGTGGCAAACCTTCAAACGTGTTAGTTTGAATATCTTATAATACTAACATCTTCATATAATTTTCTTCAGCCTTTAGAAATGATTACTTAATACAGGTGTGTTCAACCCACGGGCTGCACATGACTCTGGACAGTTAATACAGCTCCACAAGATTGTAAACTTTTAATATTATGTGGTATATTAACTATATATTTTATACACGGCCCAAGACAATTCCTCTTCACTCAACGCTGCCCAGGCAAGCCAAAAGGTTGGATATCCATGACGATAAATAACATGCAATCACTTAAACTTTATGGTAGTTAAACAAACGATTTTAAGTCAAGGACTATGTATGTGGATCATTTGAAGTTACAACAGTGCTGAAAAAAGTAACAAGATCATTTTTCTGCTAGAAGAAATGTCGTAAAGTGGGGCAAAACTCACTTAATCACCGTCTTGCTTAGCAATGGAAATTTGGCTTTAATTGTGGTAGTAAATCAAGGATTACCTGTACGTGGCTGTTCTCAGACACTCAACAGTGACTTCCTCACTTGAAAGGAGAAATCTTTAATATATGCAACTCACATCAGCAAAAAGTTGCATAATAACTGGTCAATCAAGTGATGAGAACGGGGTGGAACATGCATATGTGCACCGCATGCAGGACATAAATATACACATACTTTTAATAAAGTACGTAATACAGATTTGTTTTTATTGTGGCTCCTTGTAATTCCCCAAAGCCCATTTTTTACAGAAGTGTGGAACTCAAGCCAAGTCTTCTGATACTACTTCCAAGAGCAAATGAGTAATGTACTATTCATAGACTGCATGAAATAATGACTTCTGGGGAACATGACTTCATCCAGACTCCATCAGTTCCCCACCCTTTATTTCCAGCTCAAGATTTCTGCTCTAACTGTGCCTGCCTCATACCAGAGCAGATGGGGGCTGGAATGGGTGTGTACATGTGCTACGGCAAAGAATTATTCCATGGATGCATGGAAAAATGCAACGAGGAAGATTTATTAATGCGGCGTTAGAGAACAGAGCTTGTTCCTGAAGGCGAAGGCCATGCTGAATTTATATAAAAACCAAAGATAGGTTATGATCAAACAAGGCTAAAGGTTAGGCTATAGCAATAAAAAAATATGATTCCCAAAATAGCTATGTTATATATTCCTTGATGTAACCTCTGCCTAAGGACTAGGAACATAAATGTTTCATAAATATATTTCATGTATATAGAACTTACATGTCACCAAAAATCATGCCAATATTAATCAGCACTTTATATATAATTCCACAATTGGAGACAAGGGGAGGAAATAAAATAGGAAGTGTTTGAGCTAAATCTCAGTGAATCAAAATACCTCATAGAAATACCCCCTTAATGCATATAGAACTGGGAAGAAAACCTCTGAAATGAGGTTTTTTTTTTTAAAAAAAAAAAAAACTCACATTCCCTTTTAATGACAAAACTGAGACAAGTTAAATGCTTGGAAAAGAGGCTATACATCTATCATGGGTAAGCAAGATTTATAGATTACTGAAGAAAGCAGAAAAATTCTCATAACTCCAATAAATTTCCATTTTACAGAACAGTGAATATTGCCCAGTCTAACCTCCCATCACCTTTGCCTTTTTCTAAGCCCAAAATGTTTTATCCCCTTTATCAACCTGCCATGGATGTCTCATTGGATCCATAACCACTACTGAGAATACTCCTGAGATATCACCGTGGTCACTCAGAATGTAGGATTAGGGATATTGACTGGTGAAATAAAATAAAAATAAAAAGTTTAAAAAGTGCAGAGAAACTGAGACGTATTTCCATTTGACAGCAGACATACAGTATCGGTCAGTTCAATCATAGCTGTAAGAATTATAGCTCAAACGTCCAGGAAGCCTCAGGGATATCAAAAGGCCAGCTAAGTTTTAGATCAGGGGTGTCCCAACCTTAACAACTTTAAAACCTGCACCAAGAGGAGACATGATAGCAGTGTCCCCATATTTGAAGGGTTGCCACAAAGAAGAGGGGGGGGTCAACCTATTTTCTTAAGCACCAGAAGGCACAAGAAGCAACAGATGGAAACTAATCAAAGAGAGATCCAACCTAGAACGAACAATTTCCTGACAGTGAGAACAATCAATCAGTGGAACAGCTTTGCCTTCAGAAGTTGTGGGCGCTCCATCCCTGGAGGCTTCTGAGGAGACTAGACAGCCACCTGTCTGAAATGGTATGAGGTCGCCTGCTAGAGCAGGGGGTTGGACTAGAACAGCAGTTGCCAACCGGTGGGCCGTGAAAAATTTTTGATGGACCGCAGAGAAATCTCACCCCCAGAGCACCCCCCCCCCAAAGCAATTAATCCAGGCTGCACAGAAACACAAGGCTGCGCCGCTCACATGGCCCGCGGGAACCCTCCCTGCCCACTCACTCCTTACCCGGTAAACTTGCCTGCTAAATTTCTGCTTTTCCTTTTTCCAACCATCATCTGTTCTGCTGTGCTGGGAGATTTAGATTAGCTAGGAAGCAGGAAATGGTTGGATTTCTTGCTTTCTAGCTAGTCTTTAGATCTTCGGCTCTGCTTTTAAGCACAGCCGAACCTCCCTTAGGACTGAAGTTTTGCTTGCAAGCAAATTCAGTGCAGACTCACGGCAAGCAAATTTGACAGACTCAGGTAGCCAATGGCAGATAGATAGATCACTGAATGATTCTGTGAGCAACTCAATCTGCCTTCTTTGCCTGATTTTGGGTAAAAGTTGTTTTTTTAAAATAAAAAAAATTCAATATTTATACATATATTTATAATATTTACGTACAAGCCATGCCCAGCCAGTCACATGACCACCAAGCCACACCCACAAATTAGGCCACACCCACAGAACCCATTAGTGGTCCCTGGGATCTAAAATGATGAGTTTGGTGGTCCCTGAGGTCCAAAAAGGTTGGCGACCCCTGGACTAGAAGACCTTCAAGGTCCCTTCCAACTCTGGTTGTTCATCATGGCTGGCTGGGGAATTCCGGAGGTTGGAATCCACCAGGTTGGACTATATAGATTTAATTGTCCCTATATAGATTTCTTCTTCATCCCAACCAGAAAAGCCCCACCCAGAATGGAAAAGATCCAGAAGGAAATCTACAGGGTCTTCCGGATGCCGCCTTCTCCTTCCAACCGCCTTTCTTGGAAGACTCCACTGCCCACCCGAATCCCGGGATCTCCAGCCTCCCTCGCGCTTTTGCTTCCCTTTTAAAGGGAGACCCGGTCCGGCTTTTCATTCACTTGTACGGCTTGCTTAGGCTTTAATCCCGAGCCGTCCAGGGTCCCGTCCGGGAGACGCGCGGGGATACCAATCCGATGCATCGACCGACCGATCGATACCTGCATTCCAGACTTCGCAGGAGCCATCGGAGCCCACCTGAACCGCCCTCGGGGGGGGGGGGGGCGAGGAGAAAGCCCAGACCCAGAGGGCGGAAGGGGGGAGGTGGCGCTGCGGGACCCCTTCCCTCGCGCCGTCTAGGGGCGCCCCCCCCCCCACTTCTTGCAAGCCCTTCGCGGGAAGCTCCGAGGCTGAACCTCGCGGGCTCGATCGGGCAGACCGGGTTGGAGCGAGCCCGATCGCGGGGCGGGGGGGGGTCGCGATCGGAGGCGGGAAGGAGGGCACGAGGGTGGGGCCGTCCATCCCACCCACCGAGGACTTCAGCGCCCACCCTCCACCGCGGGGAAGAGGCAGGAGGGCGATCTCTCTCCCTCTCCCCCCCCACCAAAGCGAACCAAGCCGATGCCCTCAATGAGGAGCCTCTTTACCTTGACGAAGAGTTCTATGAGGGGCTCCTTGCCGCCGCCCACCTCCTTCATGCCGTTGACCGGCACCGAGAGCGCCATGCCGACCACCCGCACAGGAACGCCCCTCGACAGGCACGGCTCGGCTCCCTCTCCGGGCTTGCGGGTCACTCGGGATGACAGGGGGGAAAGGAAACCAGAGCCGCCCGTCCTCCCTCACCAAACCCCTCAAGCGCGACTGACGGGACGCTTTCAAGACGCCCGACTATTTATACCGAAGGGGCGTGGCCCCAAGAAAGGGGCGGGATTTCGGAGGGAACGGCGAGAGTTAAAAAAATAAAAAAAAAGTGGAGAGATGCCGCCCAAAACAGAGCCCACCGTGGAGGGGCGGGGCTTAAGCGGCTCGTCAGTACCAACCAGCCGGGCTCCGCTGAAAGGAAAGGAACCTCACGCTCTCGACGCGAGTGGGCGCGGTCTGAAATGGGCGTGGTTTTGGGGTGGGAAGGGGCGTGGTTTGAGGTGTCGATTCCCGCCTCTTTGGCTTTCCTCCTTCATCCCGATGAAAGAGAAGAGGAGCGGTGGCTCTGATTGGTTGATCCTAAGACAAGTCTCTCGATTTTGGCTGGCTAAATGATGCGGAGGAAGTATAGTACAAAGGTCTGAGCAAGAGCCTAGTCCCTGGCGAGTTTCGATTGTTTGATACTTTATTTTATTTATTTATTTATTTGATTTGCCAATTGTTTACAAGATAATAAGTATAAGCGTATACATAGTTGTGAATACATGAAATGGGTACATATAAGAAAAATAAAAGAATAAGAGAAACAATAGGACAGTGCGCTTATGCACGCCCCCTTGCGCTTATTGTTTGATTATGTTAAACCCTTCAGCTTTATTCAGTGTCAGGTATTTTAAAAGCATCTTATATTTAAAAATGCACTGCAAACCATAAAAAGTGCATTTTTAAAAAATTTAAGATGCTTTTAAAATCTAGCATGAACATTTTCTGGTGAATTTTGATGACATGAACAGAGGTTTTGAGAAATATAGGATATACTTCTTAGTGATCCAGGGATAAGTTTACTCTGTATTTGGAGATTAATATTGGACCTTCGACAAATAGAAATGCACATTACTTGCTAACAGATCAATCTATGGACATTTGTACTATAGTTGCTAAATTCTGCTCAGTTACAACTGGATTTCAAAAACTCTTAGGAAGCTTTTCTGGGGAATCCTGGGAATTCAAATCAATAAATTTGATTGAAACATATGAAATTGATAATTGGCAGGTTTGAGAAACACTGGCTTAGATGGTACATGGATAAATGATCTCACTAAAGTGCTAACTTCTCATTTTATGACTACATATTGTGTTAGTGCTTTTCTTTAGTCAAAAGGAAACACCAGTGGAACACAGTAGGGCTTATTTGAATTCAATTGAATTCAATTCTTTATTGAATTGAATTCTTTATTGTCATTGTACATATATACACAGTATACGTACAACGAAATTCACATAACACCCAGAGACCAGACTCAACGTGCACACACACACAAAATTCTTAGTAAACAAAACAATCAGCAATCTGGTATCACCTTTTCTGACTAAAGTTTTTTTTAAAAGGCATACATTTTCCCCAGCTACAGCTCAATTAATTAAATGTGACATTTCATCACAAATTTTGTATTTTTTCCTAAAATGTGTTAGTTGGAAAATGTACCAAATTCCAGATCTTTTGCCACCATGGACTAACACCATTTTCCTCCTACAAAGTAAAACATGCAGAACTGTGAAACTTGCTGAAAAGATTAGATTGAGATGTTTGATTAGGGAAGAAACAATAAATACCTTTATAACAGACTGGAAACGCTTTCTGGACTATTTGCTGAAAATGGGCAACAATGAATTAGTGATTTCAGGATTCACTGAAAGGACGGAACCATGTAATCTGGGAGGGCAGAAACTGTATTAGTCATGTTTGTAATTGCTGCAAAGATCAAAAGTTGCTTCTTTAAATATTTCCTTCAATTTTTTGTGTATTTCTTTGCCTTTTACATTTCTCACTTTTTCTGTCTCTTTTCATACCTTTCTCCCTTTGCTACTTTTTAAACATTTCAGTCATTTTTAATCCTGTATGATCTTTTCTTCAATAAAAATTGTATTAAAAACATACACAAGGCACTGTTTCCAGGCACTTCCAAATAAGCTTATAATTGGTGACATTTTGAGCCTCTTATCAAAAAATTTGGCCCTCAGCCAGACAGTAGCCCATCATAATCACTCAGCACTCCACCACTAATCTATTTTTTCTCTCTGCAAGGTACTGATTCCTAATTGCTATTTCTAGCCAAATACATCAGCAACTTCCTCTTCCAATTCCCCAGACACCGATTTCCCGATGCCAGAATCAAACCAGGCACGAGTCTGTGATCTGTTGCTTGAGGCCTTTGCTTAAACTTGTTTGTGTGCTGCAGATTGAAAGAGTTCTGGTGTTGGAAAGAGAATTAATTTAGTCTCCCTTCTACACATGTTTATTTTAATTTTAAATTATTTTAATTATAATTTTTAATTAGTCAAATTAATAATTAAATAAGGCACGTCCAACCTGTGACCCACAGGCTGCCCTATGGCCCTGGAACAGCTCATAATGCAGACCCACAGTTATAATGAAAAGTATTAATAAAGGAAGCTTGTTATTTATGTAAATTAACTACATTACCATTTATATGTGACCCAAGACAATTAGTCTTCACTCAGTGCAACTCAGGCAAGCCAAAATGTTGAACAACCCATGTACTAAATAATAAAATTAATATCATTAATTTAATTAATATTGGTCAAATTAATTTTAATTTTAAATTAATAACTAAATAAATTAATACTAGTCAATATTGATTTAATTCATTTAATTCATTTACATTGGTCAATTTAATTAATACAATTAATAAAGACATGTATATGTGGAAATATGATCCTAGACTTCATCAACTGAAGAAGTGTAGAACCCAGATCAAAAGGGATCACTGTTCTGCTCTGTTCTGTATTGGTCCAACCACACCCAAAATTATTACTTCCTTTTAAGCAAGATATTAAGACACTGAAGGATGTCAAGATTTTAAAAGGCATGGACGGAAAAACTGACTATATTTAGCCTGAGAAGAGAAGACTGTGGGGAGACATATTTTTAAGTAGCTGAAGGCTTGTCATGTGCAAGACAAGACAGAATAGCTCATTGTTCCAGCGAACAGGATGAGAAACAATAGGGCTAAATTATAAAGAAATAGATTTCATCACAATATCAAGAAAAGTATAAACTCAGCATTGTTTTAACTCTCTCTTAGACCCTCTAACCCAGTGGTTCTCAAAGTGGGCGGTACCGCCCCTGGGGGGCGGTGGGATGCCGTAGGGGGGCGCTAAGAGGCAAGGGGGCTGGCAGGGGGTCGCGAAGAGGCGGCAGGGGGGCGTTTGAGGCGCCAGCCCTGCAGGTTCACTCATTGACTGTACACCGCTCCAGAGCCGGCACCTCCAATGCAGAAGCGGTGGCACGTTATGTGCCGCCGCGGCAGCGTTCAATGCACCGTCCCCCTGCCACCTCTTAGTGTCCCCAAGGGGGCCGGCAGACGGGCGCTAAGAGGTGGCAGGGGGGCGTTCGAGGCGCCAGCCGGCCCTGCGGCTTCACCCATTGAGGCGCCGGCTCCAGAGCGGTGCTACAGTCAATGGGTGAACCTGCAGGGCCGGCGCCTCAAATGCCCCCCTACCACCTCTTAGCATCCCCAAGGGGGCCAGCAGAAGGGCGCTAAGAGGCGGCAGGGGGGCAGCGCGTCGAACACGGTCGTGGCGCCATGTAACGTGCCACCGCTTCCACATTGGAGGCGCCGGCTCCGGAGCAGTGCTACAGTCAATGGGTGAAACTGCAGGGCCGGCCGGCGCCTCGAATGCCCCCCTGCCACCTCTTAGCCCCTTTCTGCCAGCCCCCTTGGGGATGCTAAGAGGCGGCAGAGGGGTGTTCGAGGCTCCGGCCCTGCAGGTTTACCCATTAACTGTAGTAATGCTCCAAAACCGGTGCCTCAAATGCGGCAGCATGTTGGGAAAAGCCGCTGCCACCGCTTTCCCAAAGTGTCGCCGCTGTCGCATTCTGTCTGTCTGCCTGTCCGTCCATCCATCCATCCATCCAAAAGGTCTGTCTGTTTGCCTTCCTGCCTGCCTGCCTTCCTGCCTACCTACCTGCCTGTCTGTCTGTCTCTCTCCATCCATCCATCCATCCATCCATCCATCCATGTTCGAAGCTCCGGCCCTGCAGGCACCTCGGGAAAGTAGAGCAAAGCCAGTCTGAGAGGGAGGGAGGGAGGGAGGGAAGGAAGGAAGGCGAGAGAGAGAGAGAGAGAGAGAGAGAGAGAGAGAGAGAGAGAGAGAGAGAGAGAGAGACCTGATGCATCTGATTGAATGAGGCCTAGTTTAGACAGAGGCCCTTTTCCACATTGAAACATCTTTGCCAGCACATTGAAACCTCTTTGGCTTCTATTAAAGGTTTTGTGGGCGAAACATGGTCAAGACTATCAGGAAGCTCTCACATTTTGTTGAGGCTTTTAACAGGATCCATTGGACCAGATCTCCACCCTAAAAATTACTTTTCCCCAATGTATTACAGTGCCAATTCTGAAGAAGGCAAAACCAAAATGTACTGGTAAATTACAAGGAAAACACACACACACACTCCCTTCTAACCCTGCTGGAGCAGGTGATTGGACTAGAATAGATATCTCATTATCTTTCTCCTCCTTCTTTATTTCTTTTTCTTTCTGCCCCTTCCTTCCATCCCTTCTTTCTTTGTCCCTTTTTCTTTCTTTCCCTTTTCTCTTTCTTTTCTCTCTCTCTTTCCCTCTCTCAGGCTCATCCCTTTGGATCAGGGGTCGCCAAACTTTTGGACCTCAGGGACCACCAAACTCATAATTTTAAATCCCGGAGACCACTAATATGAATTTTGACTGACGGTGGCTTTCTGGCGTTGGTGGGAGAGAGAGAGAGAGAGAGAGAGAGAGAGAGAGAGAGAGAGAGATTTGACCCAACCTCTCTCTCTCCCTCTCTCTCTCACACACAG